TGCTGGCCACCACCCTACCCCCTCGCACCCATCGCTCACTATCACATCTCCTCGTTTTATTTTTTTCACACCCTTTTCACTGCCACAAATCCTCCTGCTTATGGATCTGTCTGGGTGTTCACTGCCGGGGCCAGGGACATTCTGGGTGAACCAGACAGACGCGGCCCGCTCTCAGGAAACTGACATTCTCAGGGGGAGACAGGGCACAGCCAAACCTTCGGTTCCCACTACGAGGACCCATAGCCTCCATGTTCTGGGTAAAGTGAGCTGGGTTTCCTTCGCCGTTTGCAGCCGGCGAGGCCTTGACTATGCTGGGCTCCACAGCACTTGCTGAGTTCACCTGCCATGTTTGTTTTGTTCTCTGCTTTACTCTTCGTTTCTCGCCCTCCCTCTCCCTCCTCTTCCGTTCCTCCCCCCTCTCTCTTTTACCCCCAAGACACGAGGGGCCATTTCAAGAGAAGCCTGCACACTGTCTTTGGCTAGGGCCTGGGCCTGGATGCTACTGGCATTCTCGTGCTTCATCAACAAGTTTCCACCTCAGTCCTCTCTTTGAAACACACGGTGGGCAGAGAGCAATTCCTTGTCACAGACAGGAGGGCGGAGGCCCAAGCGGCCTGCATAGACTGCACAGAGCGCAGACGGACGCTTTCAGTGAGGACTTGCCCCCTGGGACCCGGGGGCTGCAGGCCGGGAAGGTAACCCGAGCCCTTTCCTGATGGTGAATAACAGTAAGTGACCTGGCTGGACAGGACGGGTCTGGAACTCAGAGCCTTTATATTTCTGCTTCACGGTTTAGTCCCTAGTGATTTCCCAGATTCTGGAGGGGGCATGGGAGGGGGGGGGGATATTCCTACTAGGATCAGTAGGATTGTTCTTTCACAAACAGTTTTATTTTAGGTTGCCCTTATTTTTCAATCTGGTAAACCAACAATGAGAATACAGTTGATAAAGCCAGAATATCTCTACCTTACTCCTCTTACCAGCCAAAATAACCCTTTTCACCTGGGAGAAAGCTGCCTGCCCTTTCTTTGGGGGAGGTAAGCAATGCATGATATTTCCCTCTTTGCTTTGGCTGCCAGGAAGCTCGGGGATTAACTCTGAACTTCACTTCAATAGTTAGCTTGAGCTGGATTTTGGGGGCACAATGCCTTACCCTAGCTTTCTATTCCTTTGCTGTAGTAGTTCCATTGAAAATACGTTTTCCATGTGAAATTATGTCCAGGCTGGATATAAGCAAATGAATTAAAGTGATTTTGGAAGCGCCTCTCCCCCTGTGTCCTATCTCCTTTGAAGGTTGCTTAGGGGCACAGAAGCAGATACTTTAAGTCCCTCTGCTTGCTCCCTCTCTTTGTAAAACATGTTTTCAGGGGGATGTAAATTGTTTGTAAAACCTTCCATCCTGGCCCACTGCTAATTATTGCTGACCCAGGAGGATCTGTACTAATTTGCCTTAATCAACTTATTAAATAGCAAATTCCAGGAGGAAGACACGCTGCTTTATTGGATTAGTAAGGCTGCCAGGGGACGTCGCCGCTCGAGCAGAGAGAAAGGCCCATTAACTGCTCAGGGACGCTGGGAGATAATCCGGTCAAGTGTGTTTTCAGTAAGCTGTCGCTGGCCATAGTTTTGTGCCTTTTTGGGGGTTGCTAGCACAAGTTTCTAGCTCCGAAGGAAAAGCGGGGGGGGGAAGAAAAGGCAGCATCTCATCCCCCAAACCAGACGGAGGGGGTTACATATGGCGAATATGAAACGGAACAAGCAAACCCAAACCTCCAGGTCATTGAAGAACAGGTGCGTGTCCGCGAGGTTGAAGATCATTTCTTCCATCATCAGGCCGATGCGCACGGACGTCGTGGTGTCCTGCCAGAAGGAAGACAGAGGGTCACGTGTGAGTGAGCCTTGTCATGACAGCCTCCCTCGCCCTCCTGTCCCACCTCCAAAAGGCCTTTTCTCAGCCGCAGGGCCCGCGCCCGGCCCAGGTCGTGTCTCCGCGTGGGGTCAGGTTGCTAACGATACACAGCCTCTGCGATTTCCCTTCTAGTTTTTCATCACTTGTGTTTACCCTCTGGGTATTCCAACCTCCCCCAGACGCCCCTGGAATTGCAACTGTGTTCAGTGTTGCAAGGACCAGAGTGGCTCTAATAGAGAGGGCCCTGGGACATGTGTCTTCAGGGAGGCCGAGAGATTTCGGGAAGGCAGTATAAACCATGTATTATCTACTGGTGAGCGGGGATGCTGGCTCTCTCTCGACAACAATCTCTCTGTGGAGGCTGCCTTATTCCTCCTGGTGTTTTAAATGTCACTGGCACCTAACAATGGAGATTCATTTAAAGAACAAACACGCAAAGAAACCCACTATGGTGCCTCCATACCAGGGCCAACGAGGCAGCCATCAGAACAATGAAGTCATGCTGGTGCTGCTGACACGAAACTGTCATGAAGAAATATGCTATGAAGGGACAGAAGCCGGTTACGTCACAGTATCTGTGGGGAGCCCACTGGACAACACACAACACATCACTCCCCGTCTCTTGTCTACACACATGGCGTGTAGACTGCACTACCCTTCATCCATACTTGGGATCCCTTCCTGAAGAGTCTCCCTGTAGGAGGTGATGTCTACCAGGGGTTGGCAAACTAAATCTCACCTGCGGCCTGCTTTTGTATGGCTCTTGAGCTAAGAATGATTTCTGCATTGAAACTTTTTTTTTTTTTGGAAGAGAGAGGAAGGGAGAGGGAGAGAGAGAGAAACATCGATGCGAGAGTGCGACATTGATTGGCCACCTCCTGCACATCTTCCCCTGGATTGAGCCTGCAACCTGGGCATGTGCCCTGACTGGGCATGGAATCAAGCAACCTTTTGGTGCATGGGACGATGCTCAACCAACTGAGCCACACCAGCCAGCCTGAATTCTGCAGTTTTTGACAGTGTTTGTCTATGGCTACTTTTGTGCCTTGAAGGCAGAGGAGAGTCACTGCAACAGTAGTTGCTCTATGTTCCGCAGAGCTTAACATATTTACCATCTGGCTATTCCCAGTCTGATGGCCCAATGTAGACCATCCCTATTGAACTCAGGTGTGATCATGTGACTTGCTTTGGCCAATGATATCTGAGCAGAAGTAATGCTTCACTTCTGGTCAGAAGCTTTAAGAGGCAGTGCATGGTTTGCTCTGCTTTCTCTGTTCCCACTTCACAAGACTAAGTGCTCCAGATAAAAGCTACCCTGAGAGGCTGGGTTCTAGAATAAAGATGATATGTGTTGGGGCTGCAACAGATCACAGTGGACATGTATCATAAATGAGAGGTCGATGAGATGTGGGGGATGTTTGTTACTGTAGCATAACCTCACGGATCCAAACTGATACATGTGGAAAATATGCAGCATCAGGTTTCTCAAACCTGGCTGCACACTGCAATGATGTGAGGAGCATTGAAAAATCTGAGGCTCAGCACCCCACACCTGTAAAGTCAGAACTGCTGAGGGTGAGGTCTGGGCATTGGGAATGTTTAAAGCTCCCCTGTGTGATTTCAATGTGCAGCCAAGGTTAAGAACCACTGATCTAAAAGGATATACACATTTAGGCATATTCCTGGTTAACATCTATTACATGTTTTCTCTGTGCCACTTTATAAATATTAACATTTAATTCACACAAAGCACTATTATTTTCCCATTTTACAGACGAGAAAACTGAGGCTCACACAGGTTAGGTAACTGCCTCGAGGTCACATGGCTAGGAAGGGATAGGATCGGAACCCAGGAAATCTGGTTCTAGAGCAGCACTGCTTTTGACGAGGTCTTGGAGGGGCCGGGGATGGGGTGCAAAGGGGACCTTGTACTGTCACTCTGTATACCTCTCTTTCTGTTTGAATTTTTTTTTTAAACTGAAAGGCTGTATTACTCCTATTATAAAAATAAAAATAAAAATTAACAACATTCACCCTTTTTGACCCTTAAAAAAAAGGGAAAGAAAGTGTAGTTGGTGATCTCAGCTTCACACACACCACTGTGAAGCATGAAGCCCAGGCACGCAGCCATTAGGGGAAACACCTCATCAGGGTCCCAACCGCCAAAGCTTAGTGCTCTGAGTCCTGGCTGGACGTCGCGGGGTAGAGTACTCAGTGAAAAATGAAGAGAAGATGAGGAAAACAAACTTTTCAGGGCCAAGGAGGGAAGCATTGTGTGACCTGGGAAAAGGTTTTTGGGGGGTTTTCACACATTACTCATACCCAAACCATTTCACCTCTGCAAACTTGCACATTCCTTGTAGGCCAGGCTGTCTGAACACCTAACCACCAATGGCCAGCCCTCGATGCACTGACAGGAAGCGAGAAGACGCTGCCATCCACACTCATCCACTGAAAGGATTGACTTAGAAAATGTCAACTCCCAGGCCAGCCCATAAAACAGGAAAAGTAATTATTGTGTACAAAATGGCTTATCTGTGAAACATATTTGTGTAGTTACAAGAAGGCAAATACTCTATGTTGATAAAGTGATGATTTATTGATATTGGGAGGAGGTGAAGAGAAGGCTGCCATGGGTGTGATGGGGGCAAAGATGAGAAAAAAGAGCTGAATTCTTGTCTTCTAGTTTGTGAAGCCAGAGATCATGCCTTAAATAGACAAAAAGAAAAACCAAGAAGTAGTAACACAAGTAGGTTACTTAGAAATTTGGAGGTAAATACCAAAAGAATCAGCAAGTGTTGAAAGTTGTCACCTCTAGGCAGAAAGAAAGGGGGGTGGCACTGGGGACTGCTGTTTTTATTATATTTCCCTTTGGAGGACTATCTGAATTTTAAACTATATGCATATATTTCTTGGATTAAAAAACTAAATTAAAAAAACACATTCTCAGTAATTGCACTTTTCATTATCTATCCTAGAAAAAAACCCATACATGTGAGCAAGGAACACGTAAAAAGATGTTCATTACAGAATTGTTTATAAATAGCCAAAGAATTGCTTGTCCAGCCAAAGGAGATTAGAGAAATGAAATCTCTCTATATATAAAAGTCTAAGTGACCAAATGACCGAACGACTGTTTGACCGGTCACTATGATGGGCACTGACCACCAGGGGGCAGACGCTCAATGCAGACATCCTCCAAGGGGTCTCAGATTGTAAGAGGGCGCAGGCCAGGCTGAGGGATCCCACCGGTGCACGAATTCATGCACTAGGCCTCTAGTAGTAGTAGTATATTCAACAATAGAAAACCAAATTCAATGGAAAGAAATGAATCTGACTTCCATGTATTGGCATGGATACACACAAAAAATATTATTGTGTGAAAGAGCAGTAATCTTCTAAAAGTTATACACTGAATATTATTACCATCTATTAGAAACACATAAAATGTTCTTACATATTTTCCATGGGCACTTACATATTTATAAATATCAGAAAGGTTATACCTAGAGTCAGAACAGCAATTACTCCTGGCAGACAGAGAGGAAGGAACAGGAATTGGAGGTGATGATCAAAGTAAACCAGCATTACCTAGAATATTCTACATTTTTTTAAAAGAGAAGGGACTCAAATAGTTATTGTATGATTGAAAATTAAAATAACCCTAGCTGGTGTGTCTCAGTTGGTTGGGTGTCATTGCATGCATCGAAAGGTTGCCGGTTCGATTCCTGGTCAGGGCACATGCCCTGATTTTGGGCTCAATCCCCAGTAGGGGGTGTGCAGCCCATCAATGCTTCACTCTGGCATTGATGTTCCTCTCTCTCCCTCTCCCTTCGTTTCTCTCTGAAAAATGAATAAATAAAAATAAAGAAATTAAACAAAAAATCAAAGGTGCCCAAAGGCTTCTCCGGAGAACCCCGAGGACACCCAGCTATTCCTTGAGCATCCACGTTATTTCTGGTTTTCCTAAGATCTGCTTGCATGTTGCTTATTAGATTGTTCCGAACTGTGGAGGTGAGAGCTCCTTCAAGAGGAAGAAAAGTCTGGAATAGCCCAAGACAGTGGTCGGCAAACTCATTAGTCAACAGAGCCAACTATCAACAGTACAAGGATTGAAATTTCTTTTGAGAGCCAAATTTTTTAAACTTAAACTGCATAGGTAGGTACATTGTTATGAACTTAATGAGGGTACTCCTCAGGCTTAGGAAGAGCCACACTCAAGGGGCCAAAGAGCCGCATGTGGCTCGCGAGCCGCAGTTTGCCAACCATGGGCCCAAGAAAAGCACAACGGTCCCAGCAGTTAAGTAATGCAGAGTGTTACCCTAAAATATATTTAGGGCCAGACCACTTCATCCAAGTAGAAGATGTTTTTCCAGGGTTGCAAAGACTGAGAAAATAAGAAAAAAAAAAATTGGTGGCGACTCGGCATGAATGAATGTGAAGTACATCTGGAATCAGGGTAAGACGAAAGCCATCGTTTCATCGTGAGCCGCCTGCTGAATACGTCCCTAACATAATCCAGAAACACACCGCCCTGGTCTGGGCTTCAGTCACCCTGTGCAGCTCAAAGGGTGAGGACCCTCTGTCCGACCCAGCCTGTCACCCAATGAAATAAAGCCTCCACGCCATGTTCCTCAGCTAATAAAAGGCTACTGACCCATTCGAGTCCACTCTGATCCCTCGACCATCTACTGTTGCCGTGAGGATGACATGAGATAGCACATGTGCAAACACCAGCCTGACACACAGCAGGCTCTGCAAGCGCCCCTCATTGTCAAAATCCCGCAACCCACTTTCTCGCACCCTTAAGCAGAGAACATGTAATCAGATGGTACCATCTCACATGAAAACCATTTTCTCCATCATTATATACTCTTTGGAGTAAAGAAAAAATAAAAATCAGTGTTTAATTTCCTAAACAAGCAACAGCAGAAAGAGATTTGCTTTTAAG